CACTAACAGCCACCTTTATTTATTTAAAAAGGTTAATGCAGCTTTCCAAAGTGTCTAAGTTATTCCCAGAGAACAATTTATGCACTGAAAAAATCTTTTTTATTTGGGAAGTGTCTAAATAGGGAAAAAAAAGGTGAGGTACAAATTGAAGACAGAAGATTCGGTGGCTTATATCTGAAGAATTTTTCTCCCAAGATTTATTTATATGAATTGATTATAGATCCCTGACTATCCCAGGTGAAATTTCAATACTCCTTCCCTTCCACCCCAGATCATCCTATTATTTTTCTTGTTTTACTTTTGTTCACAGCATTTATCACAAATACACTCTATACTTAACTTATGGAGTTTGCTACTTTCTGACTTCTTTTACTGGAATGTAAATTCTACACATATGAAAACTTTTCTAATTGCTACACTTCTGCCCCCTTGACAGTGCCAGGCACAAACTAGCATTCAGTCATTAGTTAATAACTGGATGCAAGAATAAATCTACATTGATCAATTCACCAAGTAAATATAAAATTTCCATTTGATCAGTGCTGCATGCATCATTTTCTGGAAGGCAGTTTCACATATGGTTGGGGTGCTTTCTGGCCCTGTCTGGCCATAAATCCTGCTTCTCACATGAGTTGGCTGCTTAGACCTGGGAAATTTCCTTAACTTTTTCAGGACCTTTGTTTTCTTTCTCCCAGAATAAGGAGAACAAATTACCTGTTTCATGGTTATAAAATAGGTATGAAATCCTTAAAACATTCTGTTCAGTCCTTAAACATCACTAGTGTTATCATAAAATCAGTTTGTGAAAAGAAGCATATTCTTTACCACTCATCGCCTAAATGAGATAGAGTCGTGACACTTATGTAGATATTAAAAATATTTTGCCACAGTCATCTGAATCATTTAGTTCAAAGCATATTTAAAGCCTACATTATTCATATAATTTACTTTCTGAAAATTAGCATGGCATTCATTTTATTTATTTAACAAACTCCAATGAAGTCAAACAGAGTAGTGTAATAATTCCAAAGGTCAAGCTCAGTTTTGAATTCTGCTCTGCCATTTAGTAGGTCTGTGACCCTCGGCAAGTCAATTAAAACCTTTAATCTTCAGCTTTCATATTAGTAGTGTGAGCAAAAATAAAATCTGTGTAGTAGTTGAATATTAAACACAGCACCGTGCCTGATATATAATAAATCTCAATTAAAAGAAGGTTAAAAGGTTATAATAAAATACAGAGAACAGTATTTATAACAGAACTGTATTCATGTGTATAAAATTTAGTGAGTGAGAGTTGGAAGTAAAATTATATTTTTCAGACTCCAAATTCAATCCTAAATAAATAAATTTAAAAATCATATTTTGGAAGAAGTTATCTTTGGAAAAGCAAATTTGAATGAGAAATGATATCCTATTTGACAGCAAATCACTTAGTATATGACTTCCTTCATGTTGCTAAATATAAAGCACAGTGCCTATCAGTAACAGTTTAAGAGATGTGGTTGTTTCTTTAAGTTAACACTTCTGAATTTTTAAAAATTCAACGATTTATATACCATCCTCTTCTTATGCCCTATACTCATCAATTTAAATTTATGAAGATACTAAGTAAGAAAAACAAAACCCTATGTATACATATCTTCAAGGTTATTATCTAAGAATGTTATTAATATTGTATAATATTGGCTGAGTTAGGCAGTCTTGTAAACACCACTGTTTGCACCCAAGTAGGGGTATTGGTTGCTACACTTAGATATAGTGGAGTAGATAGGAAATGCTTCAGCTTAGATTGCTGGAGACATGGGGGTGTGGGGGGGAAATGAGTTTCTCAGGTCACCCCAGAGTAGATCACAGGAATCAGTGTATCACTAAGTTTTTTGGCCGGGTTGAGATTGGAATAGGTGTGTCTATAACTGCACCTAAGAACTAGGAGTAACCAGAACAATATGCTTTGATGAGTGTAAAGAGTCTCAACATTGTCCTAAAGTCCTAAGCAATTATTTTCATTTCAGGAAAAAAAAAAAAAAAAGGAACTTTGGTAAGATGGTATCTCCAAGTTTGCTGCTGTTTATCCACACTTGGGTTTTCTATATAGAGAAAAAATGATGGAAGTAAGGTTGAGCATGGGAAATTTTCAAGTTAGTAGTTTATTACTTTTATCACTTTGTTATAACTTGTATTCTTACAAGTTAAATGTATTAACTGAAAATGTCACAAATACTGCCAACATTATAAAGAATCAAAATATTGATCCCGCCCAAACAGGAGATGGAGATGTCTTTAAAAAATTCAATTTATTCCCAATTTTCCAAGAAATCTCCATACTTTTTTCCATATTGGCTGCATTAGTTTGCAGTCCCACCAGCAATGTATGAGCATACCTTTTCCCCCACATCCTCGCCAACACTTATTGTTGTTTGTCTTCATAATAGTTGCCATTCTGATTGGAGTGAAATGAAATCTTAGAGTGGTTTTGACTTGCATTTCTCTAATTGCTAGTGATGATGAACATTTTTTCATATATTTGTTGATTGATTGTACATTATCTTCTCAGAAGTGTCTCTTCAGGGCCTTGGCCCATTTATTGATTGGGTCATTTGTTGTTGTTGTTTTTTTTTTTTTTTGTCTTTTTTTGGTGTTTATCTTATTGAGTTCTTTATATACCCTAGAGATTAGTGCTTTATCTGATGTATGATGGGTAAAGATTTGCTCCAAAAATGTAGGCTCTCTATTCACCTCACAGATTATTTCTTTTGCTGAGAAGAAACTTTTCAGTTTGAGTCCATCCCATTTATTTATTATTGATTTTAATTCTTGAGCCAAAGAAGTCTTATTAAGGAAGTTAGGGACTAATCCTACACGATGGAGTTTAGGGCCTACTTTTTCTCCTATTAGATGCAGGGTCTCTGGTTTTATTCCTAGGCCCTTGATCCACTTTGAGTTGAGTTTTGTGCATGATGAGAGATAGGGGTTTAATCTCATTTTGTTGCCTATGGATTTCTGTTAGAGTTCGTAAACAAGTCTGGATGGTGCCTGGCAAAATGCCAGAGGGAGTGGTTTGAGAAGTAACAAAAGCGAGCCATTAAGTGTAGAGATTCCTTATTGGTTGACTGATGTATCTAGTTTATGCTAATTAGATAAGCTCTGTGGAATGTATAAATACTGCTCCTGTCCTGCAATAAACGGCTCCCACTCCTGCTGTATCAATCTACACAAGTTCCTCATCACCCCCCGGTTATTCTGCTGCAGCCGGACTGCGGCAGATTTCCAGTTTTCCTAGCACCATTTGTTGAAGAGGCTATTTTTTATCCAGTGCATGTTTTTGGCACCTTTGTCTAATATAAGACCCAGCTATATAAGGAGGCTGATTCATAGTGGGATAGGGAGAGGGAGCATGGGAGTCTAGAAACTCCAGCATTTTCTGGAGATAATTGGGACCCATCATAAGGAGCAGTGGTAAGGTATGGAGTAGATACTAGATATGTGTGGGTGCAGTATTCAGAAACAAGCTGCTCTCTTCCTAGCAATCTTCCAGAGACTCCAAAATGTCAGGGCTATCTTATTCTATTTTCAGTGTCTTGAGGAGCTAGACAATGATGGTATAGATGTGGTCAACAGAACGCAGGTGTGGGTCAGCCATTTGTGTGAGCCTTCTGTTTACGGACTGTCCCAGGGGCTCAGAACTAACCAGAATTATGTCTGTTCTTCCCAAAGTCATTATGCTTGTGACTGAGAAGTATGTTATAATGCCGAAGGAAGGAAGCTCCTGTTGACAATATTTTTTTCACTCTATTTTTGAGAGTAAATTCTTGCCTTCCTTTCCCACATCCTCACCAAAGTGACTTTGTTCACCATGAACTTGCTATTCTAAAATGATGACACAGAAGCAAGATGTATTTCCTTCCTTTTGCTAAAGACTTGATTAATTATCTAGGGCAGATCTTTAATAAAATACCATTTTCACCCTAAAACCCAAGCTTTTAAGATGCACTCAATTGTTTGCATAAACCTTTACAATTTTATTTTCTTCTTGTTTTATGCATAGACCAAAGCCACCAACCTCAAAGACTTTTTTCCAGCACACAAACTATGCTGTGAGAGCAAGTGGGGCCCTTCTGGAAGGTGTTTTAACTAATCAGGCCAATAAAAGGGCATCTAGGAAAATACTTATTAAATTTGAGACTGACTGGTATTTTAAGGATTAAATATAATTTCCATTTATTTGTCCAACCTACATTAACATCTTTAAAACCAATTTCCATCACTTTTTCCTGAGTTCCATGTTTTCACACATTCACATCAGACCTTATTGCTCATCAAGAGCCATTATTAGAAGATTCTGAGCTTCACCCATACTGTTTTCCTGGTCTCCCTTTTGATTTATCCATGTATTTCCTGAGAAAATTATACCCAAACCATTGAATTTTGAGAGGCTGGAGTAGTCTTGAGTTCTTTTGCTAAGAGAAATTTTTTTTGACATTACTTGGTCATGAAAAGATTGAAAATTCTCTTAGAACTGTGGGTTGAGTGTTGGAATCCTCTGACCTTAAGTATGTTGATATTACAAATGATCAGCTGTCTCTAAATTGGTGAGTCTGCTTCACTCACTGTGCGGCCAGATGTTTGGTTTGAGTTCTTCCTATTTATAATACCTTTTTTCTGTTTCAGTCATTATGATTTATACCTTAGCTTTTCTAGTACAAAAGTTAGACTTTCTCACCCTTAGCAAACTGAAACCTAATAATGAAAATAATATTAAAATATCATAACCAAAATCTTTGCTTTTGTTTTTGTTAATTATTTCTGATAATCCGTGGGCCTTCAGTGAGCTTTGACTACATGGCTATTTGAGTAAAACTTTATAATTTTATTTTCTTTTGGCTTTCTATGCATGACACCCTTATCCAAAAGTACATTGAGATCAGCCTCAGTCCTTCCAGCACATTGGAGTGAAGGCTGGTGATATCGACATCATAAATAACTCTTTTCTAGGTGCTGCAATGGAACAAATAGGGTTGCTGCTGCTTCTAACAATTAGAGTGCTTCCGGTGTCTGCTCAGTTCAATGGTTACAACTGTGATGCCAACCTCCACAGTAGATTTCCTGGTAAGTTGGAACCTAATCTATGCACTAATTGCTCCTGAAAGGAGTGATTATGATAAAATAGTAAATCATTTAAATACATAGGGAAGATGGGGGTCTCTCCTTTTATATTAAGCAGATATTAACAAATGCAAATGACAAGAGACATTTTTCTGGAGTTGTAATTTATACCCACATTAACATACAAAGTGTTCATCAAAGTTAATATTATTATAATGGCTGTTCATGAATGTAAAAAATATTGACTGGTAGGTAGTGAAATTGGGGAGGCTAATTTCATTCAAAAATTTGCTGGAGGACTTTTTTATCTGCAACTAGATTTATTTAAGAATAATGGTTAAGAAAATTACTGTGAAATATTATGTGACACCTTCAAAATACTCTGTCAATGAAATGTTGGTCATCATCAAAGTACACAGGTCAGCTGCAGAATGAATTTCACAGAAACCCATTAAGTTGTGACAGACATGAGATTCTGACCCTATTGGTGGACATATTCCCCAGCTTCCTAAAATCTGCACTCAGTGAGAAAGTTCTGCACATTGCATTAAAGTATTTGTCATTTTATATTAACTAGAGTTATAGAACCATGATTCAACACTTATAAAATAAAGATTAGGGAATCAGAAACTACTTTTCCATGTCTGTCATGCAAACTGAATACCTTTGGCCATACTGTGCTTTCTCTAAATCTGCCTAAGTCCTGTTGGAGCATGCTAGCACAATAGCACACCTGCGTGGAGCAAAGGGCAAGGAGTTACAAGTGAGATTTCTACCTCAGAATAAATCCTAGCTTGTTTCTGAATGATGTCCTAAGCCCAGACCAAGTCTAAGTTTGTGGCCTGTGAAGTAAAATAGAAGTCATGGTGGGGAGCACTTAAATGTAAGATTATAAAGTGTGCTAAGAGTCATTAATGGTTCTGAATATCATAAACTAATTCTTTTTTTACTTGTTTTATTATGGAAAATTCAAGCATATAAAAATAGAGATTTTTTTAAAGCCCTCATACTTATCATCTACCTTTATCAATGATCAACATTTATAAATTTTATTTTCTCTCTATTTCCTCATTACTTCCATTCATGGAATATTTTAAAGGAAATTTATTATTCATACTTCAGTGTATATATCTGATGGACAAGAAATTTACTTCATGTATACACCCAATATTTTTAATAATTCCTTGGTATTTGCTAATACTCAGCTAAGTTGCCTCTAATTTGGTTGCTTGTTCAATATATTTCTGAGACTGGATTTCACTGATTGCAAACCCATGGTATCATTCAGCACATTCCCTTTTGTCTGTGTAGCCTGTAAATTAATTAGAGCTAGAGGCTTGGGTAAATGCAGGTTCAAGTGTTTTGGCAAGAATGCTTTGTCTATCGTATCATGTAATGACAGTGTTCTGCTTTTATTTTGTAGACCTTGGAGAGCCACTGGGTCTTTTTTAAAGATACATTTTAAGAGGTTGGATGTGCTCACATTTTTTTTAGAAAACAGACATTGGGAAAAGTTAAAAAACAAAGAAGAGACTAGGAGCAGACAGACTGGGAAGGCAGGGGTGGTAGGAGCAGAAGGAGGCAAGTTCATGAGGTCCTCAAGCTGGACTCAGCAGGACTTGAGAGGGATTGGATTGAGAGAGATAAGAGGAGGGGAAGACCAGAGGATGCATTGAATTTGAACAACTGGGTGTTGATGCTGTTAGATGACACCAAAAATATAGGACACTTGCATGCTTCAGAAAGGAGGTTTGGGTTTAGAAATCATAGCTTATAGGTTTTTTTTTTTTTTTTAAGAAAGAAAGTATAGTGGCAACTTCTATCCAATAGTAGGAAATATGTACCTAAGTCTGAGAAAGGAGGTCACAACTGAAGATAGCTATGTGAGAGTAGAATTCCTTGTTGCTGTGTGGGCAATTAATAGAGGGCAGAAAAATAAAGGGCTTCAAAAAGACAATATAGACAACTTTTATGGTAAAGGAAAACAACGATCAATCTGAATCACAAATTGAAATGAGAAAAGTGTATTTGAGACTAGAGATTCCTGAGTAATGGGAAAGCATTCAGAGATTGGAAATACTAATAAGGAAGTAATTGATGAAAAGAGCAAAGAAAATACAGAAGAGATGAATGATGCAGGTAGGGGAGTCAACCTTGGCAAAGTTCCAGCTGTTTCTTTGATTTAGGAGAGAAGGAACAATGAAGAAACAGGCAGAAGGAGTGAGAGGTGCTAATCATTGTCCCCTCCTTATGCAGCGGGAGCTGGTGGCCTTCAGAGGAATGGGGCCAGAGGCCCACGAAGGGTGATCAAGACCTGCTCCTGTGATGTGTGGGGAGAAAGCTAAGATGTAGAAAGTTTGCTCAGCAGAGAGGATTTAGCTATGTTCCAGTTATATGTATATGGACGTGCGAATAAAACATATTGAACAGCCAAAGAGTGACTAGGATAGCAAGTAGAAGTGCTTATCATGGAGAATCTTTAAAAATGATGATAAAGTGTTCATTTATAAATTTGCAACAAAATCACATTGGATAGTTAGAATATGTGGATTCTACAACTTTGCCCCAAACACGTATTGCCAGAATCTCTGAATGTATTGATCAGATGAACTAGTGTATATTATGGTTAAGAACAAGTGATAGTGTATTCGGTTATCTTCTGGTATCCATTTTTCCAAGTAAAGCACAATTGTATGTTGGGGAAATAGGATTGAAAACAAAATCTTCTCCCAATCCCCAAATCTTCTCTATCAAGGTGGTAGATAAAGAAACACTTTTATCATTGAATAAGCATTAAACTCAGAATGTGATGCACATCGAAGGCAATAAAGAAAAGATTGCAAAGACAGAAAGAAATCTCACCCTTTTATATATCCAGGCAGATGCAGCCCATTATATATATATATATATATATATATATATATATATATATATATATATATATATATATGTTTTCAAGATTAGCAATAACTGGTCTTCAAGTAAAATGACATGACAGCACCATTTGTCACATATCCTAGATCCACCTGGTAATTGGGGTGACCATCTGTGTTAGCTTATTGGTTTTATCCAGTAGAAAAATTAACTTCTTATGTCTTTATGACAGGAGGTAATTTTGCACTTTGAAGCAAGGCTCACACTAAGTCTGGCTCCCATCTTCTTACTGGGAGATATGGGTGCTATTTTCCTTAATGTTTACAGTTCTAAGGGATGGTTCCCTGGTCCTTGAGAAAGACATCCTGGGTCATAAGGTTTATGAAAGTCCTATCTTGGTTTCAAAAAGGATTTATTTATATTTCAAAGAGAGAGGAAATTATTTACAAATTCCAAGTTCTCCAAAGAAAATGCTTTAAGAAAAGACAGGGGGAGGAGTTTTTTTTTTTTTTTTTAATTTTCAACAGGGAAAGTCAAAGCTCTTATTTTAATTTGAATTTTTCTTTACAAATATTAGCACTTTTAGGGCTAATATTTAGTATTATCTGGCTCTGGCAACAAATAGCCAAACTTTCCTAACATGTATACAAAGATACCCCTCACACCATTGTTATAATTAAAGATTTGTATTTAAAAAAACAAAAACCCTAAAATACAAGTACAATTAGAATTTCCAGAAGAGGATTTAAGTTTTATAGGTATTATTTAATACCCATTTTTTCTTGCATGTTGTGTTCAAGAAGAACAAAATGAACAAATAAAGCCTAAAGGTTAATTGCTCATTGCCCTCTTGACTTTTTGGCTTCTGTTCCACTCGGGATCATCTGTGATGTCATTAGGAGCTTCACAAGCTGCTCAGACCCTGAGCAATAAGGCAGAATGAGAATGAGACTGGCAAAGGAAAGGGGCTATCTAAATGCAAAGCAATGTTAATAATGAGGAGAGTAATCATCTCACCCTATCTGACCTTTGCTGTTTCTTGGCATTAGAATTATTTTCTTTAATTTCCTTGGCATTTATTCTTGGGCCAAGATAACCCCTATGCTCTAATTCATTTAAATTTAAAGAGATACCCTCTAACTCTAAAGGTAGTTAACTCTTGCCTACCGAAGCCAATAGCCAGGAAAAGCCTCATTCTTCACTGAAATTATAGTTGTACTCTTCCCTGAATAAAACTCAAAACAATTGACTATTGGGGTACCAAAAAGCTATTTGGCCGGGTAAAACCTACAGATAAATGCGCTTGAACACTGTGATTAATGGATGTATTTTGACACTAGCACCTGATTTTGGACAGCAATGATGTAGGAGACTTAGTCTAAACATGCAGATCTCTATAGAGTTATTTAATGATACAGATATGACCAAGGGGCAAGTGGGTTTTTGGTGACAGAGATTTAATTGCCTGACACTGTCTTATGATTAACTAATATAAGAAGCCCATTTTAACTCTGTGTTATATAACTTGTAATTTGGTTTCTATTTAAAATAACACTAACAAGGAAGGAAGCAGTATGCTCCATATATTGAATGGTAGGCATATCACAGAATTCTTGTTTACTCCTCTCAACAAATACACAATGTTTTTTAAACCTCTCTTTACAGTAAGGAATTGAGGATTAAAAATTGCTTCTAATATTGCAAAACTAGTAATTGACAAAGCTATAAAACTGGAACACTGTCTATCAAATGCTGGAGCCTAAAAATAAACTTTGAATGGCTGTTTTTTAAAAAATGATATAGGGATGGAGAATCTCAAAGGAAACCTCCATATTAAAGAATCTGAAGTCAAGTAGCAGGGCAATTTGTTTTCCTTTTCAAGACCTGTTTGACTAAGGGAATATATGGTAACACCTACTAATATTTCAATGAAAAAAAAATAAAATAAATTGCAAGGAAAATAAAATCAAGAATCATTAATTTAATGGATAGAATTCATAGGTGGGTTAGGAAAATGAACTAATTATGTGTTAGACTTTGCTTAACCATTGCATTGTTCTCTGCCCAAAGATGAAGTAAACATGGAGAATGAAGTAACTGTCCCAGGTATATATCCTGGCCCTCTGTGC